AATTGGTTTCCTAATCCATCGTGACACAATCGTAGATCATGGTTACACTGGTGTTATCGACCAAGAGCACATCAATGATATCACGGGAGCCATTATGATTAGTCTTGTCACGAGACGACAACTATATTTATCCGAATTCATGAGAGGACCAGAGCTCTATGGACTACCTGATATCATAAGGCAAAAGCCAGAAATGTGCAAGGCACTATTTGTGATGGAGCTTGAAAAGGATGTCGATGCAAACTATGTGTTTTCCCTTAAGAAACCATGTTATTCTTTGGAGGGATCAAGTAGAAAGGAAGTTGAGGAGTCTGTGATGGACAGCTTTCAAGACCTTTTGATATCTTTGGAAGATCACGACGACAACAGTGGTACCATGTGCAGGAACAAAATGGTGGTCGGGTCAAGGCCGAGTGAAAACTGGACATAGTTTTCGTTCTCCGACCGCTGACCGTTTAATCTTGTTTTTGATGTCAGGATTTTGTATTTGATGTGAGCAATTTGTTTTTGAAGTGAGTAATTTGTATTTGGTGTGAGTAATTTGTTTTTGATATGAGCAATTTTGTATTTGATGTCAGGTTTTTTATTTGATGTGAGCAATTTGATTTTGATGTGAGCAATTTTGTATTTGATGAGAGCAATTCAAATTTGCTGTGAGCAATTTGTGATTTGATATGAGCAATTTGTATTTCATGTGAGCAATTTGTATTTGATGTGACAGTTGTGGGCCACCGTACTTGAGTACTCGTCAAGTATTTCATTTTTAGTCGAACGAAGGTCTTCCTTAACAAGTATCTCCGAGATAAGTTTTCATGGAATAAAAAAGTGTTGGAAATGTTACATCATTGTTATCTACGCTACCAAATGTGAAAAATTTCCAAATGAAAACGGGGAAGTTGAAAGTAAATATATATATTAATCTTATGTCGGCATTGACTATTTAAGGTGATTCCCCGCTAAATTAAACAGAGCTCATGGGGAAGTTGCACCTATGCAAATCGACTGTCGCTGGCAAAAAGTCAGGCAATTCAGCTCTTTTTTTTCCAGCATTTGTCGTTTCAAAGTTATCATGTAACTTATCAGCAAGAGCTTAATACTCTAAAACACTGAAGGGAACATACAGCGGCCTGGCGGACTGTTGTAAAAACACAGAAAAATTGAGGAGGAAAATTATATCAGTTTTTTACTCTATAAAATTAAAATTAGCAACGCAAGCTCATAGTTATAAGAACCACATGTTTCTAAGACTAAAACACATGCCAGCTTAAATGATTAATTTAAGTAAATCATTTCCTCTAGCAAAGGACGGCCTCAAAATAGTGAATATGTGATCCTATGTGATCGTAAATATTAGAGACATATGTAATATCAACACTACTTCTCTTAAACATGTGACTTATCTTTTTTTCATCGGAAGCTTTTTTACTGAACAGCAATTAAGATAAGAATTAATATGTCACAAATAGATTCTGAACCGGAAGTCCTCGGGATCTAAGGAAAGTTTTAAGTATATGAATCAGCTAATGTTTACCTTGCGTCGGAACTATGCTGTTGTTAAATAACGACGCCTTTTGAAGAGAAGCCTTTAGCATTCTTGCTCCATATCTCTTTTGATGAAAGCATGAGCTATAGGGTTTATTCCAGCCGAGTTAATAACTACTGAAGGTATTTTGTAATAAGAATCGTTACATGGTTGATTCTCCGTTAAATGTGACAAACTGCAACGCATCATTGTTCTGTAACACGATAGAAACACGCATGTTGTCAAAGCCACCCATTTTACCGCTGACGCCTTGTTCTGAGTTTTAGCTCTGGTGACCACTTGATTAAACTGCAATTGCTTAGCTGAATTGTGATCTCTCTTTTAAGGGTGGAGTGCATTCAGTTGTGAGGCTGCAGAAAAAAACGCAAAGGAACCGCAATCGTCCCAACATCAAAATTAACCGCTGCTAAAGACACGACAAATGCGTTGCTTCTGGTGCGAAGCTGACGTTTTCTGCAAACGAGGAAGATGACAGATCAATTTACAACCATCGTGAGAATACTCAGGAACCAGCCGAGAACCCAAAACCACGTTTCCATATAATTTCTCTAAAATGGCTGTATAGCACTTTTCTGTTGGTTTCTTCTCTCAAGCCAAGAGTGTTTTGAAAGGTTTTAAGGGTGAAAAATTGTGTTTATATATAGTTTTTAATAAACCATCTAGCCCCATCTCACCTTCGTAAAAGTTAATTAGGCCAATATCTATTGTTTACTTAAGTCATATTTAAATCATAATTAAGGCTGCAAGCATCCATCACTTTTTAAGGCTTTTGTCAGACGCTTTGTGCACGGAGTTAAACGCCCGTTAATTGGTTTTCAAGAAGAACGAACCAATCAGAAATTGATGACAAACGCGGAGCATTTTTTACTTCATCTTCTAATGTGTTTTAGTTCAAAGGAAGTTACAGCAGTCCTTTTATAAGAATATCAGTACAGCATGATAGTTCAAATATGCGCTAGACGAAACTTAGTCAACACTAAATGTTTTTAATAACAAAAATTTCAGGATTATCAATCGGTCTGTGTTAAGCGTAAATCGCCTCCCTTTTTCTATCAAGTTAAAGACGTTTTCACAAATAAAGAAGCCTCGAAGCTCTGTTTTCTCGTAAAGTACTTCGGAAGCGGCTAGAGCGCGAAAGTAATGTAGGGAAAGGCACGAAACGTAGTGGAATGTTTTCCCCGGCCTACTTCTTAGCGCTTGGCATGTTTGGAGACCTTTGTTTGCCTTTCCCGTTGCTACTTGCCGGCTTGGTGTTTTCGTCGGTTACTTTGCCAAAATTTCACTTTGCATCTCCGTGTAATTTGTGCTTGTTCTACATCAGTTAAAATAAACTAACTCGTTTCCATACTCGTTTTAAAGGTCATCATGTGCAAGACTTGTGACTCAAGTGCGTCTCTTTCCTTTGAAAAATTGTTTCCTAAACACACTAGCAGAAATTAAAAACGTTTCACAAAGACTTATCAAGAAAACATAACATTCTAAAATTTCCTAAAAACATTTGCATTTGACGACATAGGCCGACGAACCACATGACTAAAATACTGTCAAACAATTCAATTTAAGTCGAACGAAGTTTCTTTAACGAGAATCTCCAAGAAAAGTTTTCGTAGAAAAAAAAAGTGCTGGAAATGTTATATTGTTGTCACCTACACAACCAAATGTGAAAAATCTTCAAACGAATAGGGGAAATTAAAGGTATTTATATCAATGAAACTAATATCAAAGATGATGGTCAATTTCCCGCTAAATTAAGCACAGCTTATGGGGAAGTTGCACGTATGCAAATCGACTGCCGTAGACAAAATTCAGGCAATTCAGCTCTTGTTTTTCAGCATTTATCGTTTCAAAGTTATTATTGATGTACTTCATCAACCAGAACATAATACACTAAAACACTTAAGAAAACATGCAGTGGACTGGCGCACTGTTGTAAAAACAGAGCAAAATTGAGGAGGAAAATGATATACTTTTTTAACTCTATATCATTAAAATCCAAAACCATAATTTCATTGAATTTCTTGTTTAAGAAAAATTTGAAGCAAAAACGTTTTAGACAAAAAGAATTGTTTATAGAAGGGTTTCATAAAACCATCTCGCTCCCATCAACTTTTAAAAGTACTAAGGACAATGGATAATGTTTAGTTAAGTCGCATTCAAGGCTGCAAACATTTATCATCTTAGAACGTTCAGTCAGACACCCTCTGCACAGCATTCGACGCCTGTCATTAGTTTTCAAGAAGAATGGGCCAATCAGAAATTGAAAACAACAGCTGAATATTTTTACTTCATCATCTGATGTATTTCATTTCTTAAAACTACAGCAGAGTGCAGATAAGATGTGAATTAGTGGAAATTAGCCCCTGTTTGGCCGAGGACAACAAGTACTTGAGATGGCAATAATTTCAAGTGTGAATCGCCCACTTTCAATATCAAATGAGTGACGTTAACAAATATAGAAGCCTCGAAGCTCTGTTCTGTTGTACAGCAGTGGGAAGCAGCTGCAGCACAAAAGAAATGTAGGGGGAAACTTGAGACGTGTGCTTTCTCTACCTTTTGACGCTTAGCATGTCAACAAACCTCTCATTTGCCTATCCTGTTGGTACTTGCCAGGTCGGTTTGTATTTGTAGGTAACTTGATCATATACTACACGTGCTGTACTGTCTAATAAGTTCCCCCTTCTACATTTCACTCTGTAACTAGTTTAATACGGTTACAAGAAGAAGAACATTACGGAATCGCGCCCATTGAAAAGCGTCGCCCGAGAAAAGTGGGGTACCCATGATGCTTTGCGGGCGCAATGACCTAGGAATGAGGTTGCAAACGCTCACCGCCAACTTCGGTCGCTTTAGATCTGAATTGACAAATTCCCAAACGGGAGTTGTAAAATTTCGCTTTGCGTCCGTTAAGAGACAATGGAGATACAATTGGAGCAATTAGCATTGTTTCAAAGTGACGAAATGCTCTTTTCGTCGGTAAAGAGCGAGGGCCGCGTTTGCATATCAAAAGAGCGTGAAGTGTTCATCCGTAAGCTTATATTAACCACGCGATCGCGAGCAATCCTGTCCACGTTGGAGCTCTATCAAGGTGAGTGAATGTTTTTGATTTTAAATTTTTTCGACCATAAATGTTTACTACGAACATAAACGAAATTGCTTTCCTCGAAGAGAGATCGCTAAATGTGATCGCACCATCGGATTGTGTCATTTTAACCTAATGTAAATAAACATTCGGACTGCCGATGGTTTGTAGTTTTGCTTTTGGTTTTCCATACATTATTCTGTTAGTTTAGTTCTGATAATTGGTAAGTGTCTATAATAAGATAAAAACACCATCCAATTTTCTATATTTAATTACTTTCATAGTTAAAACCAATTTTCCCTAACTCAAAGTCAAACCACAATCACAAAATTACAGTATATATATATATATATATATATATTTTTAATTACAGGTGGAAGATTGTCCATACCAGACCAAATCCTCCATTGGCTGTGTCTGGTGCAAGTGTGGTTAGGCAATTGCTGCCACTTAAGAGGATGGACTTTGTTTTAGTTGGAAGGATGCCTGGTAGGTGAACATTTCTAAAATGTCTAAACATTCAGAAATATTAAAATAGTTCTGATTAACAAGAAAAAAATATATACATAAAATAACAATTTTACAAATATCTCTAGACCCCCTACAATAATAATATTAATCACATGTCATATCTTTTTTTTTAAGTTTTTGCATAAACAAGAACAGCAAAATGTTCTATATATTTGATTTTATGTTAATTATGTATTTGTATGTGTGGTTTTAGGATCAACACAGAAGAAATTTAAAGAGAAAGTAGAAAAAAATGGTGGAAGAGTTATTTCAATGCCAAAAGAGAACCTACCGCATGAAAGATGTTATCTAGTGTGTTCAGAAGATGAGGTCAAAAATGATCGCTCAAAGCTAAATAGTGATTTGGTTATGGCCTACCAAAGGGGATGGACAGTGGTGAGATCGAGTTTCATTGAGTGGGCAGTAAACGAAAGAATTCCACCCAATGTCGAAGAGCATGCAGTAGACCTGACTCCTCTGGCAGCTTTGTCGACAAGCACATGTGGTGCAATGCAGCAGTCTGTAGAACGGTTACGATTTAGGTAATGCTTTATTTCATGATCAGACTCTAATTTCTTGTCGTAACATCATACATGGTTACAAACATTTGATAAATGATCAGAATAATGCTAAGATATAATCAAGCATACAGGTCATGATCACAGTCTAATGTCATATTATCACTTCCTGAGAACAGAGAAAAAATATCTGACATTTGATTGCACTGTTTCAGTAAAGAGATTTCTGGTTTTGCTGCCCTGAAGAGAACAATAAGAGAAGTGGAAAAGGGCCCAGTTGATGAGAGTGGTAGCAAATCTCAGATTAGAATTCACAAAAAGAAAAAAGACGCAATGGTTTCCCCCAAAAAGCCACCAAATGGTTGGACAGCATTTCTCAATGAGAAATTAAAAGAGGTTAGTTGAATTAACTTTTTATGTAAATTTCGACTGATAAGCTGAAATAATGTCTGATGCTTTTACTTTAATTGCTTCTAGAGAGTGCAAAATAATCAGAGTCCTGGACGAACAGAAAGGATGACGTTCCTCAAATCGATTCAAAGTATGGCACAGGACTGGAGACAACTTTCTGACCTGGAGAAGAGAGACTATAAACAGAAAGCCATTGACCTCCATTTGTCAAGGAAAGAAGCAAGACATCAAATTCGCGAAGAAACAAAAGAGAATCGCCAGAGAGAACAGCTCAGGGAAAAGGCATATAAAACTTTCGCTAATATGAGAATCAATGATAACCGAACTGTAAATAGGACAGCTTAAATCGTCTGAAAAAGCAAAACGATGGTTGGAGATGTAAGAAAAATAATAAACATTTTTTTTTTGTTCAAAGGTTGTGTCAATAAGTTAAACAACATTGCGGACATTGATTGCAATTCCTCGTAATACGAACAAACTAATATGCTTCGTACAGTCAGTCACGGACTTTGGAGAAATGGAAATTATCAAGCGTGTTCTGTTTTGCTTTTTTGATTGGCGATGATGTTGGCATTTTAGGGAGAGGGTAAATGTTTTGTTCGGTTGGTCATGACTTTTATTGCATTTGGTGGCTTTTAAAAAAGCCGTTTGTGAGGCAAATCAGCAACAGTCAGCAGCAGTGTCTTGGCGGTAGCTGTGTTGGCGAAACGAACTGGTGGACTCTGCGAACTTAATCTTCACGAGGAGGGATCGCGACGGCAGGTCCAGGGCAAACTCTGCGAAGGTTGCGTAGAAGTAGCGGTCGTCTTGTTTAAGCTTAACGTCCCATTTTTCACCAAGCAGGGGATCGAGATCGTCGAGTCGATTCTTCGATTTCTCCACCTTGAAATTGTTTTCAACCGCTAACCCAAGTAATTCAAGATCGTGGCGGAGATCAGCAGGGCCCATTTTGATGACGAAGGTGCGAGCTGCCTTTGAAGACATTCCTCTGTAGATCTCGCAGCGAAGCTTGGCTGCCAAGTCGTACCGCCGAACTTGAAGCTGATAGGCGCGGTTGGCCATGTGTAGCTGCAGGGACTGGGACAGCCGCAGGATGGCTCCTCGTCGGACTTCTAAGACCACTTTCTTTAACGGAGACGAAAGTTTAGTGTCCTGAAGTGTGTGTACCGCGGATGCCGGGCAGGTCAACCTGAAGTTTGCTAGCGGGCGAACGGCGACACCATCTGACAGCTGGCACTTCTGAGCATTAATAAGAACCTCTAAGCCGGACTCGTCTTGGTAGAGCTCCAGGACAATGAAGACGACGTCTGCACTGTTCGGGGTGAGGCTCACGAGATCTCCGCAGCTGATTTTGATACCATCAAGGCGAACGATCGTCGCGAACTGCGGGGCTATGGCTGACTGGACACTGACAGGCGCCGATACGGGAGGTGGTGGTGGTGTTGCTGGTGCTGCTTGGGGCAAAGCTGCTGGTCTTCTCCTCTTGACAGTATCAGGAGTGGGTTCTGGCGGTGGTAGTACATCGCGGAAAGAAGCAATGATTTCTTCGTTCCCGCACTCCACTGTCACGAGTTCTAGAAAAGGATCCACCACTCTGACCGCGGCCGGTTTTCTGATGCCCTCGATGCTGATGAAAACTTCGTCGCCTGGCAGCAACTTGTTGAAATTCACGCTGGGTCTCCAACGCTTTCTGGAGCGAACGTCAATCAGTGTACAGGGGCGAAGACAGTCGGCGCTGAGAACTGTGTCAAACTGTCGGCTCCAACCATCGAAGGTAACCTTGTACCTGTCGCCTTTTTGACTTAAGATGGTGCATATATACCATCGACCGTCATGAAGACCTTCGTATTTTTTTCCGATTTCATAAGCCATAGTTTACGTCGTCGTGTACACGCGATTAATGAGCGAGATAAATAAACGAACCAAGATTTCTACTTGTTTATCTGTCGCTATGGCTACCAAACAACGATTGTAAAGGATCCCGGAACGAGGTTGCTCATTGGCTTGTTTTGGTCACGTGTGCAAACGAAGTGTTGCTATGGTAAAGCTGAGTTGGAAGTGAGCGTGCACCTACGTGGAGCGGGAATCTACAACGTATACTTAAGCTTTTCGAAAAGTAATTAGACTACCGACGTGTTATCTGAAACTGGCGGCAATAACGGGCCAAAAAGGAAGGTAAAATTCCGCACAGCCCCACACTACATTATACGTTCAGTTCTTGGATAGAGTGACAAAAACAATACTTTACCATTGGGAAAACAGATTTGTTTTACGATAGTATGGGGCAGTACGGAAATTTTACTAAAAGGAATATTTCTGTGATGTTTTGCTTTCTTGGCGAAATTGATGGTCGAACCTCGCAAATCTGCCGCATTTGAGTCTTAACGCAAATTGAAAACCCGGCATTTGAAAGGTAATTTAATTTTACATCTGACCGATTTTTAAACAATATAACCTAATCAAGATCACGCCACTAATTACGTCTATTCTTCTTCGATGAAAAGCGCTACGTTTCGGTTGTCTGCACAAGAAACAATACTTTCGAACACTGCGTACACGGGGGATTACATGATTGACAGTCGGATTGACAGGCCTGCGTGAAGTTACGCATGCTCTCTTTCTCTTTTCTAGCTTATTTGCATTTTCCCGTGCGACGTTTTTCAATGGGCGCGATTCTGTAATGAGAAGAACACTGTATTTCAAGCCAAAATGTATTAATACATAAATTTACCTTGCATGGGAAAAGTCGTACGTCATCATCAATATCGCGACGTCAAATTTTCAACAGACTAATCTGCAGATTTAAAGAAACAGTCGTCGCTCTCGGCAGAACTTACGATATCCAAGTTAATTAGATCGAAGTGACCTCTTCCTTGACCCCAAACTGGCTGAAAAAGACACTGAAATTTCTTTTCTTAGTTCGTAAGCTTTTTCCACGTAGAAAGTCTACGGGCAAAATCAGAGTAGCTTGTTGCCTGGTTGCCGTGTGAACTTTAATATATATTTTACATGAATTTTAATTTTTGAAAATGATTTGTAATTCAAATGAGTTTTCTGACTTTGAACGACGGGTTGAATACCAACGACAAGTTTTACAGTTAATTTTGTGCAACCGTAAACAATGTTGGCTATTTTTAAGACCTAGTAAACTCTAATAAAGAGGTAAGAATATCTTTGCAACCGAAGCAATACCACAACTATTGCTTGTAAATAACTCTTCAGTGATTAAAATCGTTGTCCAGATTCAAATTAGACTTTGAAACAGCGCAAGAACAGTAGCCTTGCGAGGAGCCGCTGCTAAATTCCAAGTTATCTCAATTGTTTATATTTTATTTAACTAACTATCAGCTCGCTCGAACTTCCTGGAATCGCGATAATTTGTTTCGATTGCCTTGCGACTTCGCGACGGAGGTCTCTCCTTTTATTTCAAACCATACCTGTCTCGACGAAGAAAATTACGGTCAAAGGACTAGGTGTATTTTTTCCAATTGTCGATAAAGGGTGAAAGGAAAAAAAAAAGGAAGCGAAAGGAGAAGGAAACGTGGAGTCGAGCATCAACTAACAACCTCGCGCTCATCCTCACGAGCGTCACTTCTTTCGGGGTACCAGGGAATATCAACTGTCGACTCATTCTCTTGACTTCTCCATAACAAAAATTGGCTCCAAGAGACTGATCTTCATTTATCCCCTGTGGGGGGAGGGAGAGGAGGTTGGACGATGCAGATGGCTACAATGGTAATAAGCGATGCTACAAACAGGAAGATGGCCACGCAAGGCTGCCTAAGCAAAATCTTCGTTTCTAGATCGATAATAAAACTGGACAAGAAATTGCTTCAGGTCAAGATTTCAAAGGGATTGTTGGGGTCGAAAGTCCCTAATGAACGACTTCTATCGAGGAACTGACGAAAACATTGTGCACAGCTCTCTGTCAACGTTAATATTCTAACCATATTTTGTATGGTATCGTCGGATTGAACTACGCGTGGATCACGCGATCTGTTAAAGAACCGGACATATCAATTGACAAGGAATATGATATATTTTAACTCTTTTTATTTTATCATGCAAGGCAAGCTCATAATTTTAGGGACCAGATGTTTCTTACACCAAAATACAAGTCAGCTTCAATGGTGTAAAGAAAAAACAATACTCCAAAGTAAATTTTGCTGCAAATTAAAGTCAAGTATTTCAAAGCATAGAATGCATTCGGTTGTAACCAGCCGAGAACCCAAAACCACGTTTCCACTGAATTCCTTTTTAATGGCTGTCCTTAATTACTCTGTTGTTCTTGCGTCGGAACTATTCTGTTGTTAATTAACGACGCCTTTTGAAGAGAAGCCCTTTGCATTCTTGTTTTATATCTCTTTTGAAGAAAGCATAAGCTATAGGATTTATTCCAGAGTTAATAACTTGTAGAGGTATTTTGAAATAAAAATCGTTACATGAGTTATTACCAGTTACAAATAACAAACTACAACGCATCATTATTCCGTAACACGATAGAAACACACACGTTACATACATACATACATACATACTTTATTTGTCACGTAGGTCGATAAATGGCAGCTAAAAAGCTGATGTGGACCTACAAAACTAAAGAGTGTCTACAAAATTTAAATAATAACAATAACAAGTTGCGAAATTATGGTAAGTAAGAAAGGATGTAAGACCTAGTAAGATAATATACAGTTGATTTACAGTAGTAATAAAAAGTAATAAAATAAATAAAAGTAGTAAAATAGCTTTAATATATGTAATTTACAACGTCTTTATTTAGTCCCTGTAAACCATTAAATGTTATTTTATCTAAAATGTCGGATTTTGCTTTGAGAGCAGATTTGAAAGAAACAATGTTCGGTTTGCTCTTCAAGTACACGGGTAAGTTGTTCCATAGAACAGACGCATGGTGAGAAAAGAATATCGACGGAAGTCACTTTTAGGGCGTTGCACGAATAGCTTCAGATTGTCCCTTAGATTTCTCAACGGAGAGTGTTTAGTAAACAAAGAGCTTATAGCAGCCGGAGCTCTATTGTAAAATGCCTGATAGGATATAGTGGCAATCCTCTTTTTATAGAAATATGATAAGGACTTCCATTTTGTCGCTGCCAGAACTTCAGTATTGGGGGTAGATTCCTTTAGGTTAAAAATAAATCTCGCGGCTCCAATGTGAATGTCTTCCAGTGTCTGAAGTGACTTAGAAGATCCCCATAATGCAATAGAATACGTAATACTTGGAATGATACCTTTGAATACCGTTAACAAAGCCACCCATTTTACTGCTGAAGTGTTCGGAGTTTTAGCTCTAGTAACCAGTTGATTAAACTGCAATTGTTTAACTAAAGTGCGATTTCTAGAGTTCAGATTGTAAACAACAAGAGACATCGATGCAAGAAAAAAGATTAGAATTACGCACAAGATTATCTCGAAAAGCAAATACAAGTAGCCGCGCATGGTGATGGCAAAATGGATTGCACTGAGTTTAATCGACACTAAGATAAGAATGAAAAGAGAAGGAATTACCCAAGATGTTAGAACCATTTGAATTACTCGACGGCGCGTCATAAAAGTCAAGTACTTCAAAGGTTTCACAACAGCAACATAACGTTCCAGTACTAAATTAACCAAGTTCGTTCCAGAGGCGTAAAAAGTGAACACCCTTACAAATGCCACAATTACTTCTTCTTTTGAGCGTGTAGTGCATTGGGTTGCAAGGCTGCAGAAAAAGCGCGAAGGAACAGCGATCATCCCAACACCAAAATCAACCACTGCTAAAGACACGACGAATGCGTTGGTTTTGGTGCGAAGCTGACGTTTACTGCAGACGAGGAAGATGACAAATCCATTTACAACCATCGTGAGGACGCTGAGAAACCAGCCGAGAACCCAAAACCACATTT